ATATATATATCTATAGATTTATGTGTATGGGAGAGCTGCCAATACTCAGACACTGAGCAACAACGGCAATTTACACTCATAATTTATCTGTGCAGAGCTGTGAGAGGTTTCACAAAAATTTTGACATACTTCAAGGCGTCGCACACGCACACACAGACACGCACACATAGACACGCACACACAAGCACGCCGAGTGAGCGAGGCGTGTTGCCACACAAATTGAAATTCTGGCAGCGGCAACAGCTTCAACTTGTTGACGACGTCGGAAGCAGCCGCAAGTAGTGGGCGTCAAATGCTGGGAAGGACGCGAATACAGCAGCAGCAGTAGCAGAGGCAGAGGCAGAGGCAGAGGCAGCAGCAGAAGCCGTAGCAAAAGCAGCAACAGAGGCGCCAGTAGGAGATGAAAAAAATCAGAAGGCGCTGCTGGTGGATTCAACAATTTGTTGAATGTACATATAGTCGCTAACACACACACACACACACACACACGAGCATGGCTATATGTGTATTACAAGAAAGCACACAGAAAAAAGTAAAAGTATGTGTTGGACTTTTTTCGCTTTATGTAAAAACGAAACGAAACGAAATACACACACATACATACACACATACACAGATGTGCACGTCAAGTGCTGGGCAAACGGTTTGCGGCAAGTTTTTTACGTGTATGTGCGCCTGTGTGTTTGTGTGCGTGTGTAAGAAAGAGACAGCGAATATAACAGCAGCCGGAACGGCAGGCTCCAAAATGTAGCTCCGAATCCAGCGCTAAAGAGCAAATAAATGGCTCGAAACAAACAAAAAACAACAAAAACGAAAACGAAAAAGATAAAGCAAAAGTGAACACACAGACAGTTAACAGTTAGGCAGCGCAGCAGCCGCAGCAACAATACCAGCAAAATGTGCGTAAAAACTTTAGTTATGTGTGTGTGTGTGTGTGTGTGTGCGTGTGTGTGTGTAGCTACGACTCCATATTATTTTAAAATTAAATTTCAAGAATTGTTTATGTTGACTTTTGCTAGCCAATGTTGCTGTTTAACTTAAAGTTAAAATAATATTTGCTTTTAATTTGTTTATATTAATGCATATATGCAACTCGTTGCCTTGTTTTGTTATTATTTTAAATTAAATTCAAACAGCGTAAACAAATGCTCTTTTAGTACGCTGTTTTATTTAACTCTGAAATTTTGTGTTTCACTTGCACTTTTTTGTTTATATGTATATATTTATTTATACTTTTTTTTGTATATTTATGTTATACCACTAGCAATCTTGTTGTTTTTCTTTTGTAGGCTGTTGAATTTTTTATGAAGTCGCAACGTACACACATGTACAAGTAGACACACACACACACACTGAAATTCGCTCCGCTCACTTACTAGGATGAGGAGAGGACAAGGAGCCGAAGGAGGGGCGACCCGCGCAGTTTTCGACCGTTCTCTGCTTGCGTAGGTATGCGTATAAGTGTGTCTGTGCGTTTGTTTGTTTGTTGTATCATATAAATTCACCAAGATGTACGTGTCCCCCAAAGATGTGAACAGATCGACGTCTCGGCCACTACTGACAGCGAAGGCACTGCTGCCAGCTAGAATAGAGCAGCAGCCTTTCTGTCCTCAGTTTACAGTGCTCTGTTAATGTAACGTTACATGATAGGGCCACTCATCGCACTCAATACGGGCAATAGGTCAGTGTTAACAGTGGGTGGGAGAGCGAGCGCCGCTGTCCTAGCACTGTTACTGCTGCTGTTGTGGGGACGCTCGCTCGCAACCTGTTAACTTTCTTACCGCTGATGTCGGGCTGCTTATATCAGATTTTCTTTTTGTTTTTGTTTTTTTCTTATTCAATCTGGCTAGCCTTAGTCTGTTATTTATGCGATACTGTTGCATGTTTTAGTCCAAGCATCTGTTTTCTATCAAAAACTTTGTTGTGAACATTTACGAAGACCTAGTGTGTGTGTATGTGTGCATGTGCGTTTGAGCTTGTGTCCCTGTAGGTGTATAGCCATATGAGTACGTCGGATTGGAAGCGTTTTATGGCACTGCTTCCGTTAGCCAAGCGGAAAAATGTTTACTACGAAGCAACACAACGAGAGCAATATGCAAAATGGCCCTTTTATGTGTGTGCGTGTCTGTGTGTGTGTGTAGTGTGTCTGTTTGTTCTGCTTACCTTCTTTTACTTGTTGTTGCGGGTGCCATGTGCGATGATAGTCGGCACTCGTGCATGGACTAACGGTAATACGGCTATTTCTTTTCTCTCATTTTTTTGTGCGTATTATTTAAAATAACTGTATGGAAATTGTCAGCGCAAGCTTCAAGCACGAAGACAGTAAAAGCTCGCTTGGGTGGATTGCATATTAAATAGTCGCTAGGATTAGCCAAATAATGAGAACATTTTTTATGAATTCTATTTTAGGTTTTATATTCGGAAAAGCTGCTGCACCAAACACGACAAAAAACGGCGTGGTCATGATTGCTTTTTAAATATGCTAAAAAAGAAAGTGAAGCTACATATATAAAATGTGATCCAAGTTAAGCACAGGCTTTACTCTACATATACATATGTATATGTATACGCAAACATACAGATTTATATGCATAGATGTGTATGCAAATGTTGCACAAAGCAGCATCTGCCCTATATGCATAACGGTATATAGATTGTGTGTATGTGAGGGAACGAGAGGAAGCTACACAGGCTGTCGCTCCAACAAAGTCAATTAAGTTAACCAAAAGCAAAGATTCAAAAAGCAAAAAAAAGGAACAGCCGCATCAGTAGACGCAGCTGCTCAAAAAAGGAAATACTTTCACCAGGACGACCCAGACGTGAGCAGCACAGCAGTAGCAGTAGCAGTTACAGTTATTCATGTTGGTGTTCTTGTTGTTGTTGTTATTGTCGTCGTCGTAATTGTAACGCGCCGCGGCGTGCGTAAAACACACACACCCACAGCTACAGCAACAACAGCAACCGCAACAACAACAACAACAGCATCAAGAGCAAGAATAACTGTAACCCACACACTTTGCTAATGGAGCTGTGTGCTTACGTTGATGTTGTTGCCACAGCCACAAAGGGAATACACATGTTCATACACCTCATGCTCACACACATTTATATACATATGTACACACGCACACACAGAGGATGAGCTGTTGCTGCGAAACACGCGCCACTTTGATTAGCCTTACACTTGATGCGTTTTGTTTAGCATTTCAATTTACATTCCCGTAGACAGGCGAACAAATCAATTGTATATTCCACGTTTATTTCATGCTTATCGCTTATATCCAAACTGATTTTGTCTGAAACACGAACAGCGAATTAACTATTTATTGGCCGAGCAACAGCTGAGCGCAGCCGAAAGCCTGCGCGCGTGTTCAAAGTACGGCATCAACTGTTTGGTTCCCACGCTCAATGCGACAAACTTAGCAGAAGCAGCGGCAGCCAGCAGCAGCAGCAGCAAAATTAACAGAGAAGAGAGCCTTGAATGTTCGTTAACAGCGAGCCAAAGTTGGCCAATAGGTCAGTTACACTGCAGCTGCAGCAGCTTTGCCGCAGCGCAGAAAACTCAATGTTAAAAATTAATTTTCATTAACAGACAGTGAGCAAAAATTATGGAATACTTTAAGTATACCGGCTACAAAATACCCTACATTTACAAAACATTTTTGTTTGCTGTAAATATTCCAAGACGTTTGAATATTTATTGAACACAACTTTCATTTCTTTTGTGTAGATGTTGGTTACGATGCAGCGATTCATAAGGATATAAACTATAGATAAAGCTAAGACACTTAACGACGATCGGTTTTGCCTGTGCCACGTTTGCCGGAATACAAATGCTTTGGCATTTTGGTGCCAATGAAACGATCCGCTTCGCCCTTGAGACCCATCCGCGTCACCTTCTTCGCAATGTCGCGCTTGGCCATGATCTGGGCCTTCTTCCTGATGGCCACATCCTTGATGCCAAGCGTATCACGAGTCGGCTTACGCTTCAGTGGCTGGCCTGTCTTCTTTACCACCGCAGAGGACTCCTTGTCAAGCAGAGGCTGCTTGGGTGTCGTCTTGCTGCCAACAGCGACAACGCTGCGTCGTAGATCCATAACGGACTTCGTGTAATTGGCCTGCTCATTGCCAGACATATCCACACCCAGTCCTTCCATGGTCTCCACGAGTTTCTTGACGGAACGATCACGCACCTTGGGCTGTTTGTGACGCGGAATGACGGGCTTGTTCTTTCTGGATGACAGACGCTTCTCATCGCGCAATTCGAAACGTTTGCCACGGATTTGTTTGGCCATTTCGCGAATCTCTTTGAGTGTTTCGTCCATGGACATATCGGGCACTGCGTAAACGCCACCAGCCTCTCGGAGACCCTCCTCGCGCTCCAGTTCCTCCAGCTTCTCGAAGATATCGGCATCGATGTAGTCCGCAATATTGCGACCCTCCCAGAATTCGGGTATCACATCGTAACGTTCCTCCTCTGCGATTTCTTGGTAGTTCTTCTTCAGATCCAGAGTGTAATCGTCGCCCATTTCCTCTTCAATCTCCTTCTCCAGTTTGCGTTTGCGCTCAGCCTTCATAGCGTTCTTCTCGAGACGAGCCAACGCCTGCTCTGGTATACAAGGAGCTCGAACCTTGTCATCACGAGGAGCAGGCATAGCCACATGCAAACGGTTCAGAATGTTATCCACCTTCTTGGTGCGCATCTTCTGATCCACACGATAGGAGAGCAGACGCTCACATGCTTCGTTCTTCACCTCCACCACACCCGTCTCCTGCACCGTGGACATAAACATAACCGGAACCTGTTTATCCTCCTGCAGTTTTGTGATTATCGCTTGCCGCTCTTCTGGCAGATCCTCGAGCTGCAGTATGTCAATCTTGTTGATGGCCAAAATGAGCGGTTTGTTTGTGAACAAAGGTTTAATGCTCTCGAAGAGAGCCACTTGCTCCTCCAAGGAGTGACCACATTGCTCCGATATATCCATGAAGTACAAAACACAGGCACGCAAATGAGCCAATGCAGTAATGGCCTGCATTTCAATGACATTGCGCTCCTCCAGCGGATGATCCAGAATGCCGGGAGTGTCAATAACTTGCCAGCGCAGATATTTGTAATCTGTGTGACCCACATACAAGGACTTTGTGGTAAAGGCATACGGCTGCACCTCGACGTCGGCGCGAGTGATTTTGTTTATGAACGAAGATTTGCCCACGTTAGGGAAGCCGCAAATGATGATTGTACGCGAATACGGATCAATGGTGGGCAAACGTGACAAATGCTGACGCACCTGCTCGAGGTATGTCAAGTTGGATGCCTGGCGCTTCATAATGGTGGCCATGCGACCCAGGGCGGCCTTCTTCAGCTGCTTGCATCGGTACAACGAGTCACCGTACTTAAGCAGGCGCACATAGTCCTTGGCCACACTAGAAATAAAAATTATACTCATTAGCATTGCTTTTACAGGGTATTCTCATTCACTTACTTGTCGATCAAATGCCGGGCTGTGTTGAGCTGACCCAGCGCCAGTTTGTAATGATCCTTGTCATACAGCACATTCATTAAATCTGCATAGAATGGATGCACATCGTCAAGCTTGGGGAAATCCTGTATTATCTGCGAGAGACGATCGTGGAAATTCTGTTGCGTGTATTTAACCTTGCGCGTGTAAAATGCACGAATACGCGAGATTTTATAGCCCTTGTGCACGACTGTGGGTGTCTTTCGCTGTGTCTTCGACAGCATAATGTCGATGAAGTCCTGCAAAGTACATACAAATACAAATACATATAAATAAATTGCATATTGCGCATTTTGTAAACATTAGATGTGAGGTTAGGTTACATGCACTGTATGCACTGGGTGCTCCGACAGGCGTAAACTAATAAAAATGCTTACCTTTGCTGGCGGCACCACCATGATCTTTTTAAAGTTGTACAAACTCATTTTTGTGGCTATTTATTTATTTTCCACGGCAAAAAAGGAAAATAAATGAGGAATCGCTAGCATAAACACCACGCGGTGTTCGCAACAAATTCCAAAAAGAGCTGATGTAGAGTTTAGAGATGGTAGCTCAAAACGATAGGCCCAACATCGGAAACATCCAAGAAACATAAGAAATGGTTGGCAACATGACAGCATCTTATCGAATATCGATATCGATGCTGCATTTTTTTTTTATCTTTATTGACGTATTAAGAATAATTGAGCTTAAAATGTTAGAAATCTTACAAAACTGATTATTAAGGAATAATTCAAAAAGAAACACATAACTTCTGTGTGATATACGATTGGTCATAAGTATAAATGCTGCAATATAATCGCAGTACTGTAAATATTAATGTTGCAATCTTATTCTCTTCTAGAAACGAATGTAAATAAACTCTTTAAAATCGAATTAGACAAAATGTTGGATAATGCGCGTGCAAAGGGGTACAAATGTGAACAGTGCAACTATACAACCAATCGCTCCTTCGACCTGCGACGCCATCAACAACGCCACGAACGAGTGAAACCCTTAGATGGAGTTGCATTTAAATGCAGTGAATGCCAATTTGTGACCAAATGGAAACGAAACATGGGACGCCACATGGAGAAGCATAAACGAAATGCAGCAATACAAATGGAAGAGGGTAGGGAGGAAGAGCAGAGTCAACAGCTGGACGAGGATCAGGCTATAGAGGAGTATATAGTGGAAGTAATTGAGGCCGAGGAAGACGAATACGAAGAAGAGCTAAAGGGAGCTGTAGAGCAACTAAATACAAATGTAATATTAGAGCTGCCTCAGGAGGAGACTAATCAGGCACCGCCAAGCAAATCCCAGAAGCGTTTCAAGTGCGAGCTCTGCCGCTACACATCGAATAGAGCCTTCGACTTGCGTCGGCATAAACAAACGCATTTTAGAGTGAAAGTCGTGGATGGGATGGCCTATAAATGCTCCAAATGCAATTTCCTGACCAAGTGGAAACGGAATATGAGGCGGCATATGCGGAAACACGAGGATCCCGACGAAGATGTCCAAATCAAGGAAGTCAAAGAGGAAGTGTGCGAAGAAACGTACGAGGAAACCATTGAAACATTCTGTGAGCCGGTATATGAACCACTACAAGTCAAAGATGAACCTTCATCCGAGGAGTATATCGTAGAGCTTATAAATGCAGAGCTACTGAATTCAGATTTGGATATGGCCACAATATATCCAGCTCCGTCGGAATGCTCCCAGACGCAGGAAGGCTCCGAGGCGCAGTCGCAGGAAGAAGTGCCGGAGAAACGCTTTAAATGCAATCAATGTGAATATGAATCAAAGCGCGCTTACGATTTACGAAGGCATTCGCAAGTCCACAAAAAGATTAAACCCATTCAAGGCATTGCATATCAATGTAATGAGTGCTCCTTTATAACCAAATGGAAGCGGAATATGCGAAGGCATATGGAGAAACATAAACCCAATCCCGTCGTGGAAGCTGCGACAGATGAGCAATTTATTATGGAACTGAAATCAAATGCACAAATGGATAAAAGAAAGATTAAGCTGGAGGACGATCCCGAGGTACTGCCATCATATTGGATTGCTCTACCATCAACATAGAGCGGATCGATCCTACAGCCAGAAACTGTAAAAGTTTATTTGTATATATGTGTAAAAACAACAATTATAAGAAATTATATTTAAATAGGAGTATTTTATTGTATCTGTATATTTTTGTCAATAAAAATGTTTAAAAATAGCTGGTATATTAAATCAAAATATATCGATTGCATTGCATTAATTCCTAGATGCAGTGGAGTGGGAACATTTAAAAATAACATGTTTGAAAATTTGTATGTCTAAAGATGTCGAAATGTAGATTGAGGAACCACTCAAGTTAATATAAATAAAAAATTGGCAATTAATTTAATTCGAATTATATAAGAACTATCACTTTGTCATACATCGATACATCGCATACGAAATGAATTATCGATGTAACATACATATAAATCGCTGTGACAAAAATCGATACACGGATGTTACATACATCACTAGTTTCGATACATTTTTTACATAGACAACCACACGGAATTGTTGCTTAAATTTTACTTAAATTTAAAAACAAATTGCTACGTCCTTGCACAATATATTAACGCAGCGACAAATACAAATAGTTCTATTGAAATGGCCGACGACTGGGGTAAGTGCACGTGGATGCGTCATCAAACGTAAAACGTGGGCGCTGCGCATGTGGCGCCCCCTAACCCATCCACTTCCTCACTCTGCCCACTCCCTTCACTCAAGGAACGCATTTCCGACAAGAAAGGAGACATACATCCAACCTTGATATTTATATATATTTATAGCAATTGAAATGACATATACTTATGTATATATGCTTTTATGCATATGTATGTAATAACAAAATTATAAATTTTATTTATTGGCAGAATCCGCCGCCGACAGTGAAATTGTCATACGACCGAATGCAGCTAACAACATAAACAAGTGGGAGGGCGAGGACGACGACGAAGATGTTAAGGTAAATATAGTGTAAAAGCGCATATACCATATTGTTAACAAATCAACCCAATTGTTGCTGCTGTGTTGCTCAGCAACCTTTGTTGCTGACAGTGATGGGTAGAGATTAAAGCGTGACACGAAAGAGCACGACGTCACCAACAAGATTCGTTAACATATACTACACTTATTTGTATAAATGTAGATATATTGTACTATCTAGTATAAGGAAATGAAATGAACTATTATATATACAAATTTTTATATATTAGTAAACATGGACATAAAAAAACAGTATATTTCATATCAAAACTTGTATATTGGTATCGTGTTGATACGACTTAGTATTCGTGTCGTATCGTAAATAATCCAACACGCATTCATCTCTAATTTAAACTAGTTATTTTTAGCTCTTTTGTTAAAACGATTTCACTTTCAAATTGTTGTACACGTGTGCACGTTAATAATGCACTTTTCATGTTGATAAATAAACTAACCTGTTTTCAACATTCAGGAAAGCTGGGAGGATGAAGAGGAAAAGAAAGATGAGGAGAAGCCAACGAAAACAGAAGCGCCAGTTAAAACTAAACCCAATAAGGCGCTAAAAGCGAAATTGGAGGAGCAGGAGGTAAGTTTGTAAACATATCAAATATATTTAAACAAATAAATATGCATTTAAATTAATAGCGCCTTAAAGAAGAGGAGGAACAGAAGCGTTTAGCTGAGATGACACCCGAAGAAAAATTAGCGGAAAAGCTGCGCTTACAAAAGATTCAAGAAGAATCAGATCTAAAGAGTGCTCTAGAAACATTCGGTGTCACAAGTATAGGCGGTGGACTCGATGCCTTCAATCCGGAGAGTAAAGAAGAATTCAAGGAGTTCGGTGCCACGCTTAGCTGGAAGGTTGCTCAATATCGAGAATCCATACACTTTCCACAATTCATAGAAGATCTAGTGCGCAGCTTATGCTGTAACTGTAAGCGATCGCAAATATATATACAATATGTGCTGATAATAATTGTAAATTCCCTGTTATAGTGAGCGCTGCTGATATTAAGAAGGTCAAAATGAGTGTGGAGAGCTTGCACTCGGAAAAGCTTAAAATGGAAAAAGCAGCTGCCAAGAAATCGGCCATGAAAGGCAAGGGAAAAGTTTCGTTGCGAACGGAAAATGATGTAGGTCGAATTGAATATCGTTTATCATAATATTTATTAACTACCAATATCTCTTCTGATGCTTTTAGGATATCGATGGCTATCAAAAGTATGGCAATGATTTTACCGATGATTATGATGATTTTATGTGAATAATAGGATCGATAGTTACACGCATATAACTAATTGAATATACATATATAGTTGCTTGTTGATGTCAAAGAAGGAAAGAGGGGGAGAGTTGAGAGATGTTAAAGAAAATTGCGCAGGAATTAAATGCCCTTTTTTGTTGATTTTGAGAATACTGTTTAAAAAGCGCCATATTAATATAAATATATGTACATACATCAAAAAGTTTTTGCATATATATATATTTTTATGACAACACAGTCAGACACACATAGACAAACCAATATACATAAAAGCATGTAAAAAATACATATATATTTAATAGAATAACTAAAGTCAAGTCAAGCAAGCAATCAGGAAACCTCAACGAACATTTTTCACACACACACATACACGCAGAATTAATTAGGTACATGAATGGCTTCTTGTAAATTCACTTTTGTATAATACTATAAAGCGATATTAAATTGTAAAACAAGCTCAAATGTTGTCTCTACTTATTTATTTAACATTGGGGTCTTACTTTGAATTCGATTATTATCGACTTATCGGTTTAACTTTTCTAATATCTGCTTTACGTTTGTGACGTCATAGCCATCTCTTGTTAGAAGTTAGCAACTGTAGCCCTGCGTACGATTGTGCAGCCCTGCCCCAGGCACGTGTGAGTTATTCTTTTGTATACAAAACGTAAATATGAGTGTCAATGAATATATTGCCGGTACTTAAACACAAATAGTTATTTTCCATTGGAAGGTTATTGTATATTATATTTGTATGCTTTTATTTTAGAAGCAGCAGCTATTGAGCTGCCCAGCTCAGATGATGAAGCTGATAATGAACATACAGAGGACGGTGACGTCTGTAGCGATCAGCAGTTGGCAAAGGAATTTCGTGTTCACTACATAAAGGATGAAGCGTTATTGGACTTTAATCAATTATATGTGCTGAGCTTAGCTGCTTCTGCTGATTTCACGCGACTGGCTGTAGGCCAAAACAATTCCGCTGTGAAAATCTACGATTTGAGTGAAGGAGGCGGACTAACGAAAATATATAATGAGCTTTCTCCACGTTCACCTATCTGGAGGAAGAAAGGGCGAGAAGTCGTTAACCGTGGTGTTCGTTTTTTGGACGAGAGTGGGAATACATTACTAGTGGGCTACTCAAATGGAGAAGTGAGACTCTTCGATTTGCGCACGTCTAGTGACCAAGCGAGATTTAAGGCAACAGTTAAACTTACGCCTTCTTTGCCAGAATCTATCAGATGCTTTGATCGCAATGCAAATAGTCGAATCCTTTGCTGCGGCACAAAGCGAAGAACCAATACTTATTTAATCTTCTTTGATATAAGAGAGCGTAAAGAGTTGGGCCTCTACTGCGAAAGCCACTCGGATGACATCACTTCGGTTCGGTTTCATGACACATATCCCGATTTGCTTTGCACTGGCAGCACCGATGGCCTAATAAATGTTTTTGATATCAAAGAAAGTAATGAAGATGAGGCGCTTCAAAACACAATTAATACTGAGAGCAGTGTGCACCGTCTCGATTGGTATCAGAATGCTAATAATAAGGAGGTTATCACTTGTATTACACACACAAATGATTTCAAGAGCTATGAATGCTTAGAAGGTGATGATTGGTTATCCTTTGAACGTTCTGAAATTGTTGCTGGCATAAGACGTAAAAGTCCAGCCAATTTCAATCTAATCAATGCTCACACTATGCAGGATAGGGGATTATTTTTGCTAGCGGGCACAAACTTCAACAAAGGGTAAATCTCTAAATCTTTAATGAAAATAATGAAAATTTCATAATCCTAAAATTTTGGTATTTTAGTGAAATTTTGCGTTCTGTGACTGCTCCGGCCAAAGGCTTGCTGAAGCCTTTTACAAACTTTGTTGGTAACAAACAAATTGTGCGCGAGAGTCTCTACGATGCTAAGCGAGATCTGCTTATCACAGGCGGCGAAAGTGGTATCGTTTCCATTTGGACAAGCGATGCGAGCAACGTAAATAACTACAATAATTTAAAGAGTACATCTGCAGTAGCCAAAAAACACAAGAGTACACCGTATTAAGGACCATTTAGAAATGATAATAAATAAATGTTTTTTATAGCAATTGCTTGTTTATAACATTTTGCATTCATTTGCTTCAAACATAAAGTAGTTCAAGGATAATTCTGTGTAATTAAATTGAATTTCAGCGCCATTTGGCTTTCCATTGCCAGAAGCAATAACTTATATTACGAATAAATGAATAATAGAGTTGCCACCTGCTTAGAAGTAGTTGGTTAGCATGCAAAGTCTGCTTGCTTTGGCATCACGCATGTACTAAAACGTTAAGACTGTTGCGTTTGTACATGACGTAAGGCTGTCCGTGACGTTTTCTATGAATACTCTTTGGGGTGGTTCGGCACAACCATTGACAAAATTTAAAAAAATCGATGCGGTGTTAGAGTAAATATTAAGCTTATGCTTAGCTATAATTAAGATTTCAATACTTAAAGCTTATATCCTTATACAATATAAAATACCAAAAAGGAAGACGGGGTATACAAGAATTATTTTAATTATTACTATTTATTTTAGAGCTACTATAAAAATCTGTATATTATATTACTATATATATTATATTTTTATATTGATCAAATTTAAAGAAATATATTCATTTAATTCATATCTTAAAAAACATAAAAAATAAACAGTAAAAATATATCAAATTATATTCATTTATATATTTTTTAAGTTCTAAATTAAAAATAAACGTACATTTATTAAAAATTTAACTTTGTTTAAGAATACTTAAGTATTCATTGTATAGGAATTGAATAGCAAATATTAAAGAGTTTTAATCCAATCTTCTTTTTGTTTTTACATAGATACTAATCTCCTTTCAGCCATGCTCCTGCATATTATTTCTCTCAAAAAGTCTCATCAAGCTCTGCTTAGTAAAAAATTAGCACATCCTTAACACATACTGTTTACACTTAACTCACTATCCCACTCTCCTTCTCTCTCTTTCTCTGTCTCTATAATTTCTCAATTACCTTTCTTCGCATTGAGTCCCATCCCGGGCCCAATTAGTGCTGCAGTAGGCATTGCAAATGCGTGCCCACAAATCGTCTAATCCGGTGCCACTGGGCCGAGAGCAGTGCGAGCTACGAGCTGCGAGTTGCGAGCTGTGTGAGGCTGCTGGTGCCTAAATGTTGACAAATACAACACCTACGATACAAATAAAATTGCTACAGAAGTCCCACCTAGAACGCTCTAACCGGAACGACTTAATTTTCACAAATTTACGCCAGGATGCAGGACGACTCGATCGGGTCTCCTCTCCACTTACCGTGGCTAATTGCTCATGAATAAATTGTTTCGGTTTTCGAATTCCATCGAAAATGCATAGACTGCTTCGCTCTCTCTCTGTCTGACTTACATATGCCCACTCTATCTGTCTCGCTCTAGCGCTGCGAGTCCTGCGGAGCAACCAAAATATTATGGTGTTCCCTGCTGTTAGCGCACAGTCAATGCGAATTTGCTGCGGTAAGAGATGTTGCTGCTTGTTCCTCATCTTCGGCAGGCTCTGCATCGTCTTGCTCGTCTTCTCGTTGAGTGTCCTTTTCTGCTCCTTGTCGTCGCTCTGCGACATTTGACATGTCTGTTTGGCTTGACCCTGAGTTTGTGTTCCACTTTGATGTGATTCGTCAATGCGGTGGACTACCGGCTACCGACACAGCAGACTCCAGACTGCAGATTGCAGACCTCTCAACCTCAACTTCAACTTCGACTTCGACTCGGCCTGCCCTAAGGATTCCCAGTCTGCGCTCTGACCCTGCAGGAGTCTGCGTCTCCCGCCGACTGCCCAACAGCGTTTGTTGGCGTATCTCAGTGTTGTTTGTTTGGCTGCCTGTCCGTTTGTTTGTGCCGCCGTCTGCTTGTTTGATGCTGCACTGGCATTCGTTCAGCTCCGCATGGCCACCATGGTCGGTGGGTTTTGAGTTGGTTTGAATTCCATTCCACCTCCTGGTGGTTCGCATACCGCAATGCGCTGTATTTATAGTAAACGTAGCCGATCGATTGCGGTTCTGCTGGGCCATATCACAAATGGGTGTCCAAGACTCTGGAACGAAATGACGAGAGGGAGAGAAAGAGATAGAGAGAAAAGGAGAGACAGAGAGAGTGTAATGAATATGCTATAATATATCTCTGCTTAAAGTCTACATAATTGACTTATTGAAGTTTTTTGGCTGTTAATGTAGCTATAAAAGAAATGATATTTAATATATTATTTATGCATATATGATTAATTATTTTAGTTATTTAAATTGCACATGCGACCTTAGCAGAGAACATTTAACATTACCGATAAATATATTAATATACAATAATGTTTTATTTATTTATTACAGTAATAATCGTTCCAGCCTCTATTAATATACAATATGATTTTTTTATTTATAATATTAACAGTCCTTAATAAGTTAATTTGTAAGCCAAGCCAAGCATATGTCTAATTATATTTGATAGATAAAAACTTGTGGGCTATAAATCAAATCTAGCGCAATTTGTATAAGAAAATATTTAGAGCTACAAATGTTTTCTTCACAATGCGCAAATATAAATAAAATAGATGTAATTATTAAAACTATGTTTAAAAAAATATTAATAGATAATATTTGAAAATAACTAAATATACATATACAATAATATACATATGTATGTATATCAGATCTTAACAAAAATATCAGATGCTCTTTAGATACTAGAGTAACTGCAATGTATAGACCTGTAGAACCATATCTATCTATGGAATCTTCCTAGATATTTCCAATGCACTATAAATATACTCAAAATTTAACTCTAAAAGATGCAGATGTTTTTAGTGCACTAGAAATATAGTTAACTCTACGTAGGACTCAAAAGTACCTTTATAGTACAATTTATCATATAAATAAATTCCAGTTAATTTCTTCTATATATTATATATATACATAAATATTTTATATACTTAAGATACAGCGCATCCTTTAAATTACTTTCATTCCTACTATAATAGTGATGTATATGGTTATCCTTCATACTACATTCTATGTGTAATCCATAATGAAATCCATCAATATGCTTATGTATCTGCATTATGCAAATTTCCAGCCATAGATACAATAGTATCTCAAAGATACTGAGTAGCTTTTTATTCCCGCACTTCTGCCGCTGCCCAGGTACAGCTCTCTAACTCTCCCTCGTTCCCATTTCGCCTACTTGTCCGGCCATTCAGCAACTGCCGTCCAGCGAGTCTCTGCGCCAGCTCCGCCCTAAAAAAGAAACCGCATGATTATGCGCCCGCACAATATCCAACAATGGCTCACCTAATTATTTGGCTCGTGTTCTCTTTTTCTTCTCGTTTATGTCTCACGTTTTTTTGTTCGTTTTTGTTCGGGCCGACAAAAAGCGAGCCAATTTTTAAACGATTTGTTTCTCTTTTTATGAGTTTTTTCCATTGTGCGCATTTTTAGCTGTTTAGCTGTTTGGCTGCTCTACAAACCTCCTAATTGCGGCAGTTCCGACTCCTTGTCCCTGGCTGCCCTAGCTGCAGGCAGCGTCGTGCGCGTCCCTTTTTATTGCGCGAACGCATTTCCACTAAAAATTGTGCCATTTTTTCTCTCCCATTTCATTGTTTGGCCATAAATTGACATGTTTTAGGTAGACGAACGCGCCTTTTTATTGGTGCAACTTCAGCCGAAAATTGTGCGACAACCGCAGCCCAACAGCGAGTCCTTCACCGAGGACCTGCCCAAGTGGCAAACGAAACTTATGCTCAGGCCGCTCCCTAAGACATATGCCATATAAAGATAGTTGATACAATAAAAAATATTGATGCACATAAAAACTATTTATGCAAGAACAAATATTTACAGACTAAAAATAATGCAATATAGACTCTTTAGTAAATAAATAAAATACAAAAAATA